ACGGCGATGAAAACAAAATTACGAAGTAGACTGGACATAAACCACACACTTGAGGTGTCATTGTCTCCTATTACCCCGAGATGGGACCGTCTGGTTGCAGAAAATCAAGCTCGGTGCTGTGGTGAGTCGTCATTTTCATGCACTTTGAATTTGCGTTGTATCGTATTTTGAAGGCATTAAACATTACCATAGCGATCGGAGTGTTGCGGCCAGATTAGACGCTCCTTGTGTTTATTATTATATTTCGAAAACACCACAGTTTTCATGCAGCTCATACCATATTATTTTGTTGTATTATTTCCACCACACCTTAAATGCCGGTCCCTGAAAATATTGTCTGACATAAACCGGTCCGTGGGGCAAAAAAGGTTGGGGGCCCCTGTTTTAAAGGAAACGTTTTTGAGACGTTTTTGTGGGTCTACTCATAGTAAACATGCCCACCACATTTTATGCTCCTAAGTGAAACTGGCTGCGGGGGCTTCAGTTTCAAATTCAACTTGAAGTGCACATTTTAAGGCAAGTCATCAAACTTCTTTGCCACTCGCTGCCATGCCAATTCAAACAAAAATGACACAAGAGAACTTTTTTGTGCATATACTCTTGGTAAAAAATGCTTCCCAAATTTCATGCTGCTAATTGAAACTGACACAGGGAGCTAAATTATTAATCTCAATTTTGAAGAGTTTTATCGTATGTCATCAAACTTCACTGCCATCTCTATACTTTTCAAACCAAAATGGCAGACTTCCTGTGTCACTTAAGGTACAGCTTCTTGAGACTTTTTTACATGTCTACGCATGGTAAACATCACTCCGTCCGTCCATTTTCTGATCCGCTTTATCCTCACAAGGGTCGTGGGGCGTGCTGGAGCCTATCCCAGCCGTCTTCGGGCAGTAAGCGGGGGACACCCTCAACCGGTTGCCAGCCAATTGCAGGGCACACTGAGACGAACAACGATCACACTCACACCCAGGGACAATTTAGAGTGTTCAATCAGTATGCTATGCATGTTTTTGGAATGTGGGAGGACCCGGAGAAAACCCACGCAGGCACGGGGAAAACATGAAAACTCCACACAGGAAGGCCAGAGCCTGGAATCGAACCCCGCACCTCTACACTGTGAGCAGAGAACCAGCCGACCACCGTGCCAACCCTCATTATAAACATGACGACCAAATTTCATTTCACATTTTTACACTAAATTTTGATTAGAGTTGAGCCTTTTATGGGGCATCATCATATTTCGTTGCCACCTTCCACCTCACTGGTTCAAACCAAAATGCAGACTTCCTGTGTTGTTTCTGGCATGGGTTCTTGAGATGCTTTTGTGCATCTGCTCATGGTAAATATACCTACCAAATTTCATGTTGCTATGAAAAAATGGCTCCTGGGACTGAATTTTCAAACTGCACTTTTTAGTATTTCACATTTTATGATATATCATCAAATTTTGCTGTCATATTCCGCCACACGTTTCAAACCAAATAGGCAGACTTGCTGTGTCTTTTAAGGCATGGCTTCTTGAGACTTTTTTTATGGGTCTACTCATGGTAAACATACCTGCAAAACTTCATGTTGCTGATTAAAATTCACTGCCACGCCATGCTTTTCAAACCAAAATGGCAGTCTTGCTGTGTCTTTTAGGGCATTTCTTTTTGAGACATTTATTTGTTGTGGGTCTGTACATGATTGACATGCCCACCAAATGCCACAAGAAAAGTAAAACTTGAGCGGAGGCTTAATTTTCAAACTCAATTTCAAAATTCATATTTAATTGGACAAGGTCTTTAGGATGAGTTCCCTGGAAATAACTAAAACAAGGTTAAAATGGCTTCTTGAGAGTTTTGTTTATTCGTCTACTCATGACAGCAAGTTTTGCCCTCATACAGTGGCGCATATTTTCTGCTGGCTAAAATGATGACAACTCGTCCAGAAAGGGCCTATTAAAACACACGTGGACAACTCTTCGCCATTCTCAAGCTCTAGCTAACCACTTTTCTGCGATCCGCTTCGCTTCCATTAAACCACAAAGTCTATTGTGCATGAAATCATGTGGCTGTGTTTTTTTTTTCCCAGCCCCATTCACGGTCTGCAATTAAGGTTGGCGTAAAAACAGCCTCGGCTGTTTTATCAACTCTTGCCTGAACATCAGTGGAAACGGCTGACATGGATGTGAGTTGTGCGAAGTAATGAAGTACAAATTGTATACACTGACACCTAGCCTTACAAATTATGAGAATTCAGTTTTCTTTATACATTCCAACCTTCTAAAAGAAATATCAAATTTTTAAATGTTTTTTTAAACTTAACTTTGAAGTAAATCTCCACATTTGTGGAACCCATATGTGCAAATTTACATAGTTACAGATTTTATACCATATTACGTGGCCAGGTGGTCCAGTGGTTAGCGTGTTGACCTCACAGTGCAGAGGTACCGGGTTCAATTCCAGCTCTGGCCTCCCTGTGTGGAGTTTACATGTTCTCCCAGGGCTTGCATGGGTTTTCTCCAGGTACTGTGTTTTCCTCCCTCCCACGTTCCAAAAACATGCATGGCGGGCTGATTAAACACTCAAAATTGTCCCTAGGTGTGAGTGTGAGCACGGATGGTTGTTCATTTGTGTGTGCCCTGCGACTGGCTGGCAACCGGTTCACAGGGTCCCCTGCCTACTGCCCAAGACTAATGTAGTGCTTTGCTGCCATCTTGTTGCCAAGAAACTATGTAGAGGTGACTTGCGTAACTTCATTTAGATAAATGTAGTGCTCTGCTACAATGTTGTGGCATGTTGATGCCAGGAAACTATGTTGAAATGAATTGAGAAGTGTCATTTAAACCAAAGTCGTGCTCTGCTACCATCTCATAGCATGTTGCTAAGGAAGTACATTAAAGTGAATCAAAGTGCTGCATTTAGATAAATGGAGTGTTCTGCTGCTATCTTGTAGCATACTGATGCTAGGGAACTATGTTCACATTAATATTAGTAACTTCATTTCGACAAAATCTCTGATCTTCGGCATCTTGATGCCAAGGACCTGTATGGGAATGAATTAAGAAGCTTCAAAAGTACGGGAAGTACTTTTTTTTTCTTTACTTAAGTAAAAGTTGAATTTGTTGAATTATTTAATCCTTTTCTGTACTCCTATCCTTATGTGGATAAAGTGAGTACATTTTCCATCTCTGCATTTTAGAGGCTGTACTTTTTCACTTTGACCAGATTATTATTTTGCAAATAGTATCTGAAGTAAAGAGCGCGAATACTCTTGCTGCCTCTGCATTTCAGGCTGTACTTTCTTTTTCTAACTTAAGTAAATGAGTTGAATGAGTACGTTTACAAGAGTATTATTTTACACAAGTATCATAGTCTGAGTACTTTTGTGCTGGTTTCAAGTGTCTCCTCCTCGTCATTCTTCTTGGTGTTTTAACAAGCCGCCTGCCAAAAATGGCATCCTGTCAATGACAGAGCGGCTCTTGATGAGCCCCTGTGTGGCTTCCTGTGGGTTCCGGTAGCTGGGAACAGAGCGCCGCTGTTCCTCTGCTCGAGGTTCAAAGAGAAGACAGGAGGGGTAACATTTTCACAAGGTTTTCACAGTGGAAGTTGGGTACGTTTGCTTGGTGGGGGTGCTCTGATGCATGCTCAACATCGCTGGTGGTGGCGGCTGACAACTGCCACTTATACACACACACACAATAGAAATAAACAATTACTAGAAATGATAACGGTGCAACTAAAACACAGAAGAAAAAAAACAAAACAAAAACCCACAAAATTTGTCCGGACTTCACAAATAAAAACCTTGACTTGAAACATAATTTCTCCCAGTTTTCCTGAATGTAACACACACATCCAATCACATCCCACAAGAAAAAGGAAGACTACAAATAATTTGCAGGATAAAGAAAATGTCCACGCCACAATCCGCACACCACAATTGGTCAGAACAATTGAGCATCATTTTTCCCAGTTTTATTGAATGCCACACGCAAGCCGCATACATCGGTGACTACTCTTAGAGCCTTTTGATGCTCTTGTTTTTTGCTCTTATTATAAAATGGGTGATGTCCACTTTTCCCAGTTTTAATGAACACAGCACGTGCGCTGCACACAGTAGTTCTTGCTTTTACTGTTTCTTTTCACCCTCTTTACTATTGTACTGACAAAATGAGATGTCCCCTCTTCACAGTTTTCGTGAACACAGCACATTGTCCAATCAAATCGTTGTGGAGTTCTCAAATCCCTTTCCCAATGTTCTTGAATGCGACATATGAGCTGCACATACCGTTTTTATTAGATCCTTTTTATAGTCTTTTCACCCCTGATTATAAATGACAGATAAACCATTGTGACATTGTCCCATGTCGCTTTAGGACTTGAAGAAAGGTTAACGGAAAGGTCGCGCAAGACTATCAACCTTGCAATATTAAAGTGTAAAAAGAAACGGTCACTGTATATATAGTGTATATCACAGAGCTAAATATAGAGCGATATTATCCTCCAAGTAAGATCTGCTATATTACTTGCAGCAGGCTCAAAACGATGGACAATTTAAAAAGTATTCCAGTCTCTCTTAATTCCTCCTTTCATTTCAGGGGTCCCAATGGAAGCCACGCAGGGGTCGAGAACCCTTGACGAGGAACTTTATTCCCTTCATAAGGTCTGCACTTTCATAAGGAACAATAACGTTTCGATCATCTAGATGGAGAATTGGAAATGGTGCAGGTGGAAGGCATTCATGGGAGAGCTTGGTGGAAAAGTTCATTTCTTGGTCATTTATACAATGAGAAGCAAACAGAAATAAGAAATAAAATAACACGTTATTTTAACAAATGAAATAAAATAACACATTATTTTGTCAAAAAAAATAAAGGAAACAATTAATCCAGATTTTAAAAAAAACTAGAATACAACTATGTGAAAATGAAATGAAAATATTTCAAATACAGAAAACATTTAAAAAACTGCAGCAAATAAATAGATAAAATACAACATGAGTAAAAACAAACAAGAAACAAATAAAACTATTATACTCAAAAATATAACAATATAACAATCTAAAATTAGAATTTGAGTGCAACAGAATATTGAAATGCTAACAAAATGCAAAGAATAATTTGCAAATAAAACAAAAAAATGTGATTAAGAAATAGAGCAATATCAAAGCGATGATAAATACATAAAATATAACTAATAAAATTGACAACATGTAAATAGAAGTACAAATGTAAAATAAATCAAATGGAAATTCTAATATAAAAAAAGATAAAATTGAAAATTAAGTGCAGCTAAAAAAATTAAAAAAAAAATTTAGAAAAGAAAAATAAATAAATGTAAATTACAATGAAGTGAATATAATGCAAATATACGAAATGCAAACAAAATAAAAATACAAATAAAAACGGACAGAATACCACTAATACAAATATGTACTATGTAATAATGAAATCAAAATTACCTAGAGATCTAAATAAATAGAACTGATTGAAATGAATTTTCAGTAATCCTGTTTTTCAGAAGATTTAAATCCTACCCCGGTAATGGTGACATGCTGGTTTTATCTGCATGATTAAACTAATGAGTTGTCCCATTCCTGTGCAACTTCCGTGAACAAAATAAACACGTGGTCCTTTTTAATTTGTCATTCAGATGGATGGAAACAGAATTGGAACAATATAATTGCCAATTTTGTGAACATATTAGGCTGTTGTTGTTTCCACCTCAGCTCACTCATGAAGTGAAATAAAAGCACAAGACAGTTTTCGAACGCTGTGATCTCAAATGACAATTGACATGTTTCTGCTGCCGTGACGTGATTCTTACCGCTGGCTGGAGAGCGTAGCGGATGAGGAAGCCCGGCTCGGACGGGAAGTACTCATCCGAGACGAAGCGTACGCGGACCTGATTGCCTTTGGTGAGGTGGGCCGCGGGGGCTGCCTGCAACCCACACCAGCGGCCCAGGATGCTCCCGTCAGTCGGATCCTCCAGCTCAACAAAGTCGTACCTCAAAAACACATCACATTCCATTTTAACCGAAACCGCAGGCATGATAGCTGAATAGATAAAAAATTGTTGTATAATTTACTTTAATCTTACTTTAATCTTACTTTAATTTAGGAAAAAAAAAAAAAAGCATTACAAGATGCTTCCTGCACAGCTGAACAGATGAATAGATTGCCAGCCAATGTACAGTATGGCCACTATATCTGGATGGATGGATGGATGGATGGATGGATAAATGGATATTACCTAAATGGATGGATGTGTAGGTAGCTACATGGGCAGATAGCTAGCTAGATAGCTAGCTAGCTCGCTAGGTAGTTAGCTAGATAGCCTCTTTGTTGCCCATTAAAAAACATCACGTGTGTGAACCCACAGGCATCCACAGGTTGCCTCACAACCCGAAGGCCCCACGTTTGATCCCTGCCTCCTCCACGAGGTGACACATCAAAGCATCCTTGTGCAAGGCAATGACCTCCAACCTTTTCTGCCACCGCCATCTGTGCCGGAAACACTCGTCTGCGGAACAATACTCATAAAAACACTCATAAAAGGAATGGAGGTGGAATGGCGATCAATAACAACCTATCCCATAATAAGCAGCAAACAGCGGAGTGGAAGTATTCCAGCACTTTTTGTGGCGACAGATGGCTCATCAATAATGCAGCAAGTGTGGATCATTAAGTGCTGTTGAACAGCAATGGAACAAATAGGCTGACATCATGTAGCATCTCGAAGACATTGTAAGGGCAAAGACGGCTCAATATAATCCATCCATCCAGCCATCCATTACCTCACAAGAGAAAATAACATGTAAAAACACACAAACAGCTGATTACTCATGAAAACCACCACCTTGTGCAATAGAAATAAACAGAAGCGACTACAAACATAGAATGGCGATCTGTTCGTCTAAACCACTCAGTGCATGTCAGAATGTGCAGACGAGAGCACTGTGAGTGGAATGTAAATGTGTGTGTGTGTGTGTGTGTGTGTGTGTGTATGTGTGTGTGTGTGTGTGTGTGTGTGTGTGTATGTGTGTGTGTGTGTGTGTGTGTGTGTGTGTATGTGTGTGTGTGTGTGTGTGTGTGTGTGTGTATGTGTGTGTGTGTGTGTGTGTGTGTGTGTGTATGTGTGTGTGTGTGTGTGTGTGTGTGTGTGTATGTGTGTGTGTGTGTGTGTGTGTGTGTGTGTATGTGTGTGTGTGTGTGTGTGTGTGTGTGTGTATGTGTGTGTGTGTGTGTGTGTGTGTGTGTGTATGTGTGTGTGTGTGTGTGTGTGTGTGTGTGTATGTGTGTGTGTGTGTGTGTGTGTGTGTGTGTATGTGTGTGTGTGTGTGTGTGTGTGTGTGTGTATGTGTGTGTGTGTGTGTGTGTGTGTGTGTGTATGTGTGTGTGTGTGTGTGTGTGTGTGTGTGTATGTGTGTGTGTGTGTGTGTGTGTGTGTGTGTATGTGTGTGTGTGTGTGTGTGTGTGTGTGTGTATGTGTGTGTGTGTGTGTGTGTGTGTGTGTGTATGTGTGTGTGTGTGTGTGTGTGTGTGTGTGTATGTGTGTGTGTGTGTGTGTGTGTGTGTGTGTATGTGTGTGTGTGTGTGTGTGTGTGTGTGTGTATGTGTGTGTGTGTGTGTGTGTGTGTGTGTGTATGTGTGTGTGTGTGTGTGTGTGTGTGTGTGTATGTGTGTGTGTGTGTGTGTGTGTGTGTGTGTATGTGTGTGTGTGTGTGTGTGTGTGTGTGTGTATGTGTGTGTGTGTGTGTGTGTGTGTGTGTGTATGTGTGTGTGTGTGTGTGTGTGTGTGTGTGTATGTGTGTGTGTGTGTGTGTGTGTGTGTGTGTATGTGTGTGTGTGTGTGTGTGTGTGTGTGTGTATGTGTGTGTGTGTGTGTGTGTGTGTGTGTGTATGTGTGTGTGTGTGTGTGTGTGTGTGTGTGTATGTGTGTGTGTGTGTGTGTGTGTGTGTGTGTATGTGTGTGTGTGTGTGTGTGTGTGTGTGTGTGCAGATGATTGGATGCCGCATTCATCGTGCGGCATCCTGGGATGCAATCGAATGCCTCAGGCCCTCAGTTGGACTGGCTTGACCCCAGAAAAAAAAAAAAAAAAATGTCGCTCTTATTCGCCCGACCGCTGCTAGGATATGCTGATTACTTCAAGCTACGTCCACACGTGCACACGGATATTTTCGGGAGATTTTTTATTTTTTTTGTGATGTTTTTTTTTGTGTGATTTTCGTTTTGTTGTGTGTAAAAAAGAAAGGAAAACGATGTTGCATCTTTTATTTGAAATGTCTTGCAAAGGTCTTCTGTTGAAATTTTAAAAAATGTAACCCGAGAAAGTTGTCACTTAAATGACTTGCTTTGTTTTTTTTGTTGTTTTTAGACTTTGTGTATTTGTGTTTTCCTTGTATGCAATTTAAAAATTTTCAATTTCCACTAATGCTGTTCAAAGGGTGCACATTTACTCATTGTGGGGTTAATAACGAGGATCTCAACATAATCATTATCGATGTAGTAACAGAACAATGTTGAAGTATTTAGTAAGGTTTGAGATTCCAGTTCTTTTATGGAATAAAAACTTTCTAAACTGGAAATTTGAAAATAAAGTATCAGCAAAATAAAGCGTTCATATATATTTATAGATACATATTAATTTTATTTAATTTCATTTGTTTGTATATTGCGTGTTGAGTTTCAAATATTTTTCAATGTAGGTTTAAACGTTTTTTTGATGAAAGAACTTTTTCAAAATACATTTAATATATCGTCGGCCACATAGGATAAGTGCCCAAGTCATTTTTCAATATTTTGACAAAACCAGGAATAAAAACCCTCACATTTTAGAACTCCCATTGCTATTTTGACTTTGGCAATTATGCTATGTGTCTGATGATGTACGTTATTTAAGTTATACGAAATACAATAATATTTTATTATACCAGTATCACATTCAGTTGAATCCTGACATGAGCACGCTCTTAAATTGATGTCAGCAAATATGGGCTTTTGGAGGGACGCGGGGGGAGGTGGGGGAAGTCCAATCAAACCATAATTTCTTCCGGCACTGTCTCTTTTGATTAGCTGGTGATTGTCTTGTGTAGGTAAACACAAATAAATATTTGATTGTAGCTGTGCATACAAATTGACCTCATGCGGTCGCCGATTGCACCGGGTGACAATAATCGAGCCTCCAGTACTTGTCCAGGACTCTCCAGACAGAAGTAGCCCGGCATTAACCACCCACAACTCCTTCCTCTTCCTCTTGCCCTTTATCATCCATCGGTCCACCTTGCCCTCATTTGTCTCCTGCATAACGCCCAGTCAGTGGTGATGTACTGTATCTCCGTAAAGACACACACGGCCGTCATCGACCGGCTCCTTCTTTAAATGAAATGGCAAACACGAGCCATAATTGAAAGTGACCCGTACGAGAAAACAAATGTAGTGTGTACGACGTACTGTATGTGTGTGAGTTACTGTGAGCCGCCGTATGTATTGACGCAGTCCGAGTCAAATTCGCTGCTGAGTATAAATTTCAATATTCATGATTGTCCGAAGCAGTATGAAACCCAGAGGCAATTTCACAAATGGACTCACGCCCACTCTAAATCTTGAAAGGCAGACAACCTCACATGATCCAACACTGACCAACTGTTCAAGCGGTGATCTGTCATGCCTACGGTATTCAAATCAAAGTCGTTTGTTTTCAAAAAATTGGTGGAAATGAGTGAACAATGGAGGAAAATAACCAGCTCCTGTATGTACTTACTTGCTAAGGTCATGTATTTTACTCAAGAAAATATTGAGGATGATTCGTTCTTCCAATGTTTGATGAAGACGTTCATGACTTTTGCTGATTTTTTTTCCACCATCATTTGGGGTCTTGCATTATTCAGCAGAAGCCTCACAAGACTTCAGTAAGTCTCATGGTTTAGCAGATTTCACACAATATTTGAGGAAGTCTTTTATGAATTTGCAGGAAGACTGACAAGACTTGGGGAAACGCCATCGAATGGAATTCTCTGCGATACGATGAAGTCTCGCCTGATTTAGCTGATTACTTCCCTGATTCCATGATTCATCATAGGGCTGTAAAGATTTTAAGAAAGTCTCATGAGATTGAATAGAAGAATAGAAGCATGCGATATGGCAGAAATCTCACAAGATTTCATGAGGTCTCATTTCATTTGGCGGTCTCGTGATTTTTTTTTTTGGGAAATCTTTGCTTGATTTAGCTTGTGGTACCAGTGAGTGATTTAGTGGAACTCTTACACCATAGGAAAAAGTCTTATCTGATTTTGCTGAATGTTTTTCAATATTTTAGGAAGTCTGAGTTCGGAGTGTCCTAAGATTTGAGGAAGTCCTGCATAGTTATGTGGAATTCTAGAGAGATTTGAGGACATCTTGAGTGCTTTAGTGGAAGTCTCACAAGATTTAACGAGGTTTTGTGTGATTTTACAGAAATCTCACATGATTTGAGAAGGTCTTGTGTGATTTTCCAGAATTAAAGATCTAAGACCATCTCATGTGATCTCACAGAAATTTCACAGGTTTTGCTAAATTTTTCAGAGCAGTCTTTTAATTGAATGGAGGCCTTATCAGATTTGATTAATGTTTGTGTGATTTAGCAGAACTCTCACGACATTAGAGGAAGGCTCATGTGATTTAGAAAAATTTCTATTAACGTATCAGTCGTTGCGACAATTTAAGGAATTATGACACCCAGAGGGTGTTTTCCTTACTTGCATATTCCGTCCTCGGAGTCTTCCAAGCCAAATCTCTCATCAAAGGTAAACTGAATCCTCATGTTGCTCGCCGCCACCAGTCTCCACACCAACACGATGTTCCTGGGGTAAGTGAGAGGAAAATCCGGGCTATGGATCGTCCCCTCTCCAGACACCATGATCACCTTCTCCTGATGGGACTCCTGCACTCCTAAAAGAGAAAAAAAAACAAGAAATGAAGGGATGCTTTGCGGCTGAAAATGGCGATAAACTGTCAAAGAAATTGAACACTTTAAACCAGGGGTGTCAAAGTCATTGATCGCGCAGGCCACACTTTGGTTACCGTTTCACTTAGAGGGCCGTTATGACTGAAACCATATAAAGAAGTCAAGAATAACTGTTGATTCAACTGTTGTTTAAGTTACTATCATGAGGGATTTGGTAACAAGAAAATGCTTAGAATATCCATCCATCCATTTTCCGTTCTGCTTTATCCTCACAAGGGCGCGGGGCGTGCTGGAGCCTATCCCAGCTGTCTTCGGGCAGTAGGCAGGGGACACCCTGAACCGGTTGCCAGCCAATCACAGGGCACACACAGATGAACAACCATCACACCAAGGGACAATTTTTGAGTGGTCAATCATCCTGCCATGCATGTTTTTGGAATGTGGGAGGACACCGGAGTACCCGGAGAAAACCCACGCACTCACAGGGAGAACATGCAAACTCCACACAGGAAGGCTGGAGCTGGAATAGAAACTAGTACCTCCGCACTGTGAGGTCGACATGCTAACCACTCGACCACCGGGCCGCCCAGTTTAGAATATCTCTCTTATTTATTACAGATGAGAATGAAAAATGTTGGTAGACATTTTAGAAAGGATCATGGAAGTTGACATGTTTGAGCTGCTTTGCCGGGCCACATAAAATGTGTTGGCGGGCCAGATCTGACCCCTGGGCCTTGAGTTTGACACCTGTGGTTTAAACTAAATTAGACAACCAAGGAATTGCATCTAGAGAGGAGAGCGTAGGCAACAAAGCAGATACTTGAGCCAATTACACATATGTGAAATATTTACACCAGGAAGAAGTAACATAAGGAATCTACGAGAGCTTATATCGAGTCTCATATTGTCCGAATAGGTTTTATGAAGTCTTGTGTCAATTCTGGAAAGATTCAAGAAAGTCCCACCTGATTACCGCAAGATTTGAAAAAGTCCTGGATGGTTTTGTTTTTTTTTGTTGTTGTTATTCATACAAGAGTTGTTGAAGTCTTGCACGACTTCATTGAATTCTCACAACTGTTGAGAAAGTCTTGCGTCATTTGGGGGAAATCCCACACGATTAAAAAAAGTCTCATTTGATTTTGTGGAATTCTTGTGAGAATTGTGAAAATTTTATGTGAATTTGCGTTGGGTAATTCTTGCAACATTTGAGGAATTCTTGTGTGATGTACCTGAGGACAGGTCTGGCAAGATTTGAGGAAGTCCTGTGCAATTAAAAGAATTCTCGCAAGATGTTCACAAGTTTCCAATGGATGTGCAGAAGTATTGCATGGTTTGGAAGAAATCTCATGAGATTTGATGAAGTCTCATGTGATTTAGTGGATCTGATTTTTTTTCCATGATTTGTCAGAATTTTGAAGTCCAGTGGAGGTCTCATTTGATTCACCGGGAGACTTTGCTTACATTCAGTTTGCAGGCAAATACTGTATGACCCAAAACTGATTCTTCTTTTTTTTTTTGTCCATGTGTGTGACCTGTAGCAGATTTTTTTTTTCCACAGCCTGAATGGCTCAATTTCCATTGTTTTTAAAGTCGACCTGGGTCACTTTCATATGTGTAGATCGGATATGTATTTGATTTTTCTGCAATGCGACTTCTGTCGGCAAGGTCGCAATTATCTGATTTATATGTCATCAAAAGCCCAATATGCGCTCCACGCAGGTGGGGGAAGAGTTCTTGGGAGGGAGACTTGACAATTGTCTGTGAATCCGCCAAGTTGTTTTGAGGAACAGTGTTGACTTTATATTTGATTTGAATTTAATCCCACCTGAAACATTAAAAATGAAGTGGACATCTGTGGTGAGAATAGTAATTCAGCCACGCAAACGGTTCATTTATTGCATGTTGCAATGACGTGATGTCATCTTTAGTAGACGTCTCTGTGAAATGAGGCGATGAAAAAGCCTCGCCTCATTTCCCCAATATATTTCTACTTTCACCCACACCACTCTTCTGTAGATACGAGATGATGAAAAGGTGAGGCCCCACTCACTGCACCATATTTACTTCCATAAACACTACGATGTAGGTCACGTCATCTCTTCTGCACATGCGAGTGACTTTGGGAGTACATTTGGTTCACACACCAGACAGACTGACGTCACAATTAAAACATAATGTGAACGATTACACAAAAAAATAAATACATTTCGATTTCACCCAAAAATCTGAACTGAACATTAAGAACTACAAACTGAACCTAGATGATTTTATTTTATAAAACCTTCGTATCGGGATTTGAAGACGTGGTGACCTATCAACAGTCCAAAATTGCTAAATTTTGGACAGAACCCGGTACAAAGGATTTATTTCAACACGAAATACATAACATTATGATATTGATCGGTTTGTGTATAAATCACTGTTTAATGTACTTATTTTACTCTGTGAACCCAAGCAGCACAAAACAGTCTTTTTGCGAGTGAGAAACGACAGTGTCAAACTTGTAATGACTGCGGCATTTCCTTTGGGTATAAACAACACAAAAGGCGCTAAGGTCACTTGAAACACCTCAATCAGTGCACCCTATAAGATGACTGCTTATATTATATTCCTCCAAACAAACAAATACATCCTGCTGATGGAATTTGTTGTTTGTGTATGCCCCCATGGTGCATGCTTTTCCAGATACATTTATAAATGAGAAACAAGTGGCTGTGATTCATTCTTAGCTTGCTGGCTTTAGAAAATAACAAGAAAACAAAAGCATTATGCCACGTGAATAACAAACACCAGAAGATCTTAATAGGCCAACTCAGGTCAGGACCCAGATTCACACGTGCAGCAAGTGGGTGTTTGCGAGGCAGGCACGGAGTGGGAAACATATTGGTTAACATGTTAATAATGGGGATACCAACCAGCAATGGTTGATACATGTCTGAAATAACATTTGTCCAAATTACTAAAATCTAAAAAATCAAAAAATATTAGAATGTGCTATTGGTTAACATGTTAATAATGGGGATACCAACCAGCAGTGGTTGATACATGTCTGAAATAACATATTTGTCCAAATTACTAAAATCTAAAAAATCTAAAAATATTAGAATGTGCTACTTTTAATATTTGATGATTTTAATTTCAGACTCTGATCATGTTAAAGAGTTCTCACAATACTGCCAGCGTTTGCATTTTTCAATCATAATTTCTACGAGCAAATCACAATGTCCTAGCACTGTCGGGCTACTCATGTGGTCCTCATGGGCCACCTGGTGCCTGCGGAGACCATGTTGGTGACCCAATGCATTCTTTAGCAAATTATGACACACGATGTCAGAAAGTCCTTTCAGTTCAAATCAATCATGAATATACTTTGGATATAACAGAATTGTATTTTTTATGACACTTGTTTTTCAGTTTTAACTTAGAACTCCTGATGTACAAAGAAAAATCAAGTCGTAGCATCTTTTACAGTGCAGCTATCATTCAACCTCATTCAATACTTCAAATAGGAAAAAAAGTATGTAAACTTGAATGGAAAAAAAAGGAAAAAAACTACATTGCATTGATTGCCTCTGATGCTTTCATGTGGGCTTGGTAGCCAGCCAAGTGGGACGCCATTGAATCACACTGCACCAACAAAAACAAAAAAAAAGGGCTTTTGCATGAAAAGACTCTTTCATAAAGACACCAAACTAACATTTGGCACAGCAATACCTCCTGCAGGGCAAACACGCATGCATGGGAACACTGCATAATCCCTCCTTTTCTTGCACTGAATCCAATTAAAGCGCAATCGTATCTATTGAGCACACACTTGTCCCGGCACGCCATACTCTGCTGAAGTCTTATCATCATTCTTGTAGCAAGTGGCAGCGAAAGGGACCATGTTTAATTAACTGTTCCAGGCTCGGGAGGTCACAAATTGAGGGGTTTGTCTTGGCCTCCAGCAGTCGTGTTTTTAATTACTCTCCGCTTTTTCCCCACCGCCAGAAGTGACGTTATCGCGGTGGGAGAAAATGCGATTCGCCAGACATGTGATCATCTGTTAAATGTTGACTGAAACATGTTGGTTTTAACATAACAAACGGCGTAGCAAATAATACATTCACTTTAATTGTTACATATTGTAGAAAAATGTATTTTTAATTGCTTGTATACAAATAGTGGCTCTCTCAAGTGCATCACGTGTGAAATTAGACAGTGGAGTCTATTTGCCTACTTCGAAAAATGTGTCTGTGAGCAAGCCCTTCTGCACCTGTTGATGGAACAAGCAGGGCTAATTTACATTATAACCGCCCGAACACCAAGTTTCTTTGCTTGTGACATTATCAGTTAGGCTGGGCGAAGGTCCAGAGCCACTTTCAAGCGATGGCCGGCCAACCCTGTCTGAAACAAATATCATGGTGTTGATATTGGATGCACCAATTAGCATTAGCTAACAGTGTTAGCTTGCGAACAATGCTGCAATTAACGAGTGATTGAACCCAAAAGATTTCTAATTGCCTATAAATGCCACAAGGTGGCAGAAAAGCACAAACTTGGTCGACTCATTTCATCATAATTCATCAAAAATGCATCATATGTTTCCTTGAAAGTAACACCATTTTTTATTCCCAATGGTACACCATACAAGATGAAGTAAAAGTCGACTTTTCTTGACATTTTCATCAACAGAGGGTCTTTTCACTGAAGCACCTCGTCATGGGCATGTACCATGTGACTTGCAAATGACCTCACCTCTGGGGTCTTCTTAAGATCAGAGGCGCAGCCGTTCCTCCCGGGGGGTGAATTACCTCAAACATGACTTTTCTTTGACCTACTTACCCACCCACCCCTCGCAGTGAGGAAAGTGGAGGCGGCTATTAAGGCAGGAAGTCAATGCGGATGAATAGGTTGGCGTACAGTGCGGCCATTGTGCTTTGTTCGCACCTTCCATTCACGCTGTTGAACATTAACCTTTCCACTGGAGCGCCCATATATGCAT